AAGCACGATTACATCTTGTATTTTCTACATCTTTCAGGCAATTGTGAAATGGTAAAGATATGGCTTTGGAGACGCCGCGACCGGGAGTCCTCATCTCGGTTTAGTTCTCTGGACGCCTATCCCCGCCGCCTCTGCCGTCGCGCCCATCCCAGGCATCTGTGGCCATGGCCAGCCCCAACGTGTACTTAGACATCGCCGTCGATAAGGAGCTCCTGGGCTGAATTACTTTAGAGCTCCTTGCAGACAAGTTTCCAAAGACGACAGAAAACTTCCGTGCTCTGAGCACAGGAGAGAAGGGATTTGGTTGCAAGGAATCCTGCTTCCACAGAATCATTCCTGGGTTCATGTGCCAGGGTGGTGACTTCAAACGCCATAATGGCACTGGTGGCAAGTCCATCTATGGGGAGAAATTTGCTGATGAGAACTTCATCCTGAAGCATACCTGTCCTGGCATCTTGTCCATGGCCAATGCTGGACCCAACACAAATGGCTCCCAGTTTTTCATCTGTACTGCTAAGACTGATTGGTTGGATGGCAAGCATGTGGTCTTTGGCCAAGTGAAAGAAGGCATGAACATTGTGGAAGCCACGGAACGTTTCAGTTCTTGGGATGGCAAAACCAACAAGATCACCATTGCTGACTGTGGACAACTGTCATAAGTTTTTTGTTTTGTTTTTTTGTCTTAATAACCATTAAACCATTCCTCTGTAGCTGGAAAGAGCACCCCCAACCCCATCTGCTCTTATACCCTGTAATCCTTGCGCTCTCACTTGCTGCAATGCTCTGGATTTCATTACCTTTTTCCTTCCACAAGTCTGGCTAGACAACAGAGTTAAGTTTATGATTATGAAATAAAAACTAAAGTACAAAAAAAAAAGAAATGGTGAAGATGTGGTCTGTTTTTGAATATCATTTGTGAAAACTTACTTGTTCCCTCTTACTAACCTTATTGAGGATGCCGTCAATTTTTGTATAGGTGACCCTGATAAATATTTTGTACAGATGACAGAATAAATATATGTTAGTAGGTATTGATGTTTTCTAGTTCACCTTTTTTCGTATCTATATGGTCTTAGATTTTTTTTATATACCTTTGGTGTCTTCCGTTCCTTTAAATATCCCATCCCTCAATGGCTTCACATTTGTATTGACTCCAGTACAATCTCCTTTATGGAAACAATCCAACTGATTATCTTTTCGTTTCATATTTTTCTCTTTAGTGATATTTCTACTTTTTCTGTAAGCACCTTGGGGGCTGTAATTTCAGAGTCCAAGTGTGGTGGAGTATACTTTAAAGAGAAAGTATTGTGGCAGTTTTTGTAAAATTTCCCATTCTTCTTCTGTTTGTTCCATTTTCATCTTTGGATGCCCCTAGGATGTCCTGGATTAGTTGGAAAGCTCACCAAACTTTCTTTAGACTGGTTTTACTCTTCACTGCTTCTGTCTGCTTTATAAGAGATTAAGATAAGATTTTATAGGTGAATGCATATGCTAACCTGATTTTTCTTTTCCAGTCATCTCTTTCTCATAGCTAAGGTATTTTTTTTGGTCTCTTTTAATCACCTTGTTGTAGCAGTTACTTGACACTGGTCTAATTTCTGGAAGGAATTATTATAGTCAATGTCTATGTAATTTTTGTTGTCCATTTCTTATTATTTATTTTCAATCACTTTTTAAATTTAAAGTTAAAACTTCTTAATCCTATGCCATATCTTTTCTAATGGATACTATTTCTTCTTGCTTATCATAAATTCTGATTTTACCTCTAATGAGTCAGTGATCTGACTCTGCACAGACAGCTAACTGAGGGATAACTTTCACAGCCATATAAAGTCATTTCCTATTCATTAAAATGTAGTCAGTTTCATTCTTTCTGATGTTATTCAGTGCCCTCCCCTTCATGTCCAGTGCTAACAATCTTGTCTCTGAAGAAAGAGTTCATGATATAGAAACATAATAAGGCTTTTGTATAATCTACAAGTCTTTATTCTCTCTCATTTCTTTTTCTTGAATCATATTTTCTCATCTATTTCTCCCTATCCTCCCCTTTTCTCACTTTTGTATGGAAGTCACCAAGTATGAGTGTATGTTGATTTAATTTATAGGGTTTTGACAGGTTCTTCATACGATTTCTTTACTACTTCATCCTCAGCTATTAATATTGATATGTAAACTACAACTATTTTCATTGTGATCTTTTTGCAGGTACTTGCCATTAGTACTATAATGGACGATGACCAAATGTCCTGTGAAGTGATAGTTCTTGTAATGATGGGGCACATGATAAAACTCACTTCATCTGTTCCTTTTGTTGCCTCTCTAAAGAATACTTTCCATATATCTGTAACATTCTTCTTTCATTTATAGTAAGAATATAAAAATTGATAAAGTTCAGCTCCTCCAGTAACATGTCCATTTGTAATGAAAACATTGATGGGCAGCAATGCTGTCCTGGTAGCATTGCATTTTAAATATGAACTGCCCAGCTCAAATTCCAGGAAGCTTGACTCCAATTTGACTGGCAGTCCTTACAGCACACATTCTTCTGAAATATCCCTTTAAGGTCTAATCAAATTAATTCTGAACTCACTTCCAAATATAAATCTCTCCCCTTCCCATATGTGCTTAAGGAAAAACTGAGTCATCAAAGACAAATTCACTATGCCAACTCATTTGGGAGATCTTTAGAGATTAGAACTCGAAAGTTTTTGGAAAGGGTAATAAATATTTAAATAGTAAAGTCACCATTTTGTAAATTTACTAAAGGTGATTACAATATCCCACCCTTTAAGAGTTCTTTGTTTATATTATCACAGTGGTGCCAATTACTGTTTATTAGTTTGAATATTTTGCAATACATCCTAGAGATCTGGGTACATTGTGGATAGAAATGAGTTGTTTTTATTTTGTAATATATAACAATCCTTGTTGTTGAGAGTAAACTCAGTTTATTTTAATAAAAAGTATTTTTATGTATTAAGCTTCAAAAAAAAGTTGTACAGAAATAATAGAGATGATCCTGTCAGTCAGTTTGTCACAAATATGTCCATTTTTTTCTATCAAAAGTCACTGAAAATTCTAAAATTAAAAAAGGAAAGAGGCATTTATTAAGCATGTGCTGCTAGGCACTGTACTAAGCACTTAAAATATTATTTATTTTATCTTCACAACAACCCTATAAAATAAGTGCTATTATTCCCACTTACAGATGAGGAGACTGAGGCAGATAAAGATTGCCTAGAGTCATCATACAGCTAGTGTCTGAGGTCATATTTGAACTCAAATCTTCCTAACTCCAGTTCCAGTGCTCTATCCACTGTGCCACCTAGTTAAACTTTGTATGAAGCTAGCTAGCTAATTACTATTTACAATCCCCCCCCACCCCATACCCCTCTTGGCTCTGGCTTCAAATGCTAATTCTTTAAAAACTGATAATACATACATGTATTGTATATATGGTAACTCTCCATCAATGAGAATAACTAGCATGCTTCCTTCTGTAACCAATAACCCTGGGAAGTAGATGCTATTATTATTTCCTCATTTTACAGTTGAGGAAACTGAGACATATCAGTTAGGTGACTCTCCTAGGATCACACAATTAATTAGTATCTAAGGCAGGATTCAAACTCAGTTTTTCCTTTCTCCAGGACCAGTGCTCTATCTACTGAGTAGCCAACTTTTCAACTTATAAGCCAAGTTGGGATTTCTAAAGGGATATGAAGTAGAAATGGAGATTCACAAAATTTGGAAATATAAACACAGATGAAAGGAATAAAATGAGAATAATTCCAACAGCATGTTTGCATTTCAGCATAATTAGCCCCAGCTTATTAATGCTAATGAGATAGCACCATGGTAAAATTGAAAGAACTCTGGTTTGGGAGTCATAAGATCTATGTTTAATTCCTGCCTCTGTCACTAATTACTTTTGTGACTTTGGGCAAGTTATGTAATCTCTCTCAGTCTCTTCTGCAAAATGACGGGGTTGGGCCGGCTTCTCAAGTACCTTAGAAATCCATGATCATCTGTGGCAGGTGTTTTCAACTCATAGAATGAGATCTACTGTTAGGGTTGAAGCCTTATTCCTCTTCAATCTGCCTTCCCTCTATAGTTTGCCATGAATGCCAGCCACTACAGAGAGGATCAAAGATGGGAGTGGTACCCCCTTTCCTGTTACACTTGGCAATTTTACAGTCAAAATCCTGTTTGCTATTCTTGGAATCATAGGACTTTGGGGAAATAAAAAGTAGCTCTTTGTTACAAAACATTGAAGATTCCTTATCTTAGGGGACGAATATTTATTCCACACTTTTGTACTTTGGATAGATGGTGGTATTATTAGAAGGGGTATCATACAACTTGACCTGCAGTGAAGATCTCCCCAATTCCCTCTGAGGTAAGATCCCCTTATACCATTTCCTTGGAAAACACTGGGAGAGGGGGAGGACAGATATGAAAGTGGCAGTGAGTAAATGAATAAATGAATTAACAAATGAATGAAAAAGCATTTATTAAATGCTTATGACATACAAAATACTCTGCTAAGTGTTGGGGGTACAGATACAAAAGAGAATACAGTCCCTAACCTCAAGGAACCTATATTCATTTCTATACATGTATATATGTCTGTACATATATGTATATATGAAATATTTATAACATTTTGATATGTTATATTTTAATATAACATATACTACAATAACATGTTATATGCACATAGAAATACAGACATGTTTCTAATTGTAGAAAAATTTGAGAATAAATTAATTTGGAACCCCCACTTAAAAAAAAACTATAACTAATGATAATTTTGAATAAAGGTTTCTTGGGGGTTTTTTTTTATTGGAAAATACTTTGCCTGCTTATGTTTGGGTGCTAAGGACTTACCAGTTAGGGTATGCAAAGACTATACTAGAAGTTAGGACAAAGATATTTTTAGACTCCCTACCATGTCCATTCACTATATACACAAAAATACCATAAAAGAAAATAAATACCTTGTTATAATATCCTCCAAGAGTATATTGTCTTCCTTGTTTTCCAGGAGGACCCTGTATTAGAAATGAATCTGAATTGAGTCATAAACACTTATGAAAAGAAATATTTGCATAGTTATATGGCAGAGAACCCTCGACATGTTAATATTTCAGTACAGCATTTAAAATGAATTTATCTTACTATAAATCCTCTTTTATCTGGCATGGTTATGGAAAGAAGCATGCTGGTTATTCTGGTTGATGAAGAGTTGCCACATAGATATATATGTATATATATATATATATGTGTGTGTGTGTGTGTGTGTGTGTGCATATATATATATATATATATATATATAATACATGGATTATCAGTTTTTAAAGAATTGGAATTTGAAGCCATATCCAAGAAGACTTTGACTAGGTGTCCCGAGGGGTAAAAATGTTTTTTTTCTCCATTCATCTTTTTCAGTCAATCAACAATCTATTATTAAGCACCATTTATTAAGTGCCTGGCACTATGCTAAATATTGGGAATATAAAGACAGCAGCGAAACAATTCTTGTCCTCAAAGAGCTTGCATCCTATTGGAATATAAATATGCTTAGTTTTGGAAGGCATGACTTGGTTTTTAAACAGAATTTATCTCTTGGACTTTATATCCTTTTTAGTAAAACAAACTATCATAGCTTTAAGCTAAGAGCTTAAAACTGCATTCAGTAAGCCTTTTGGAACACCCAGTATATGGGCAATAAAATTTTGATGTTTTAGCAACTTAGAACTTGGCACTGCCTCACTATAGGGTAACCAAGTTCCCTGAGGTCAGGTTTGCTTTTGTCTTTGTGCCAGAATCTGGCACGGAACCTGTCACATGCTTAATAAATGCTTCTTTCTTCCCTTTTCCTTCTTCCCAACTGGTATCACTTTAATATTTGTCATTGACTTCCAGAATTTTCAGTACCTTTTACTAGAAAAAAAGTTGTGATAAACTTAATGGCAGGATCATCTTTGTTGTTCCTGTAAAACTTAATAAATACAATCATTGCTGTATTATCAATGCAGAATTATTGGTAGATTTCTCAGAGTAAAATTTCTTAGTAGTTTATCTTAGTACCAAAGCATCTCAGCAACTTAGTAGTGAGTTCTGCTCATGGTATCAAGTACTTAATATAAGTACTTGATATGTGAAGAATGGATATATGAAGAAATCCATCTGAACAGATCCATAGAGATTATGAATAACATGCACAAGTTTCTTATATAGGTCAGGCTAAACAGAGATATTTTATGAGACATATTCCTTCACTTCTGGTCCTAGAAGATATTTCTAGGTTGAGGTTTGTATGAACAGAAAATAATTAATGTATGAGAGAAGCACAGACATTTAAACCTTAGAGACCACAGAGTCCAATCCACTCATTTGACAGATGAGGCCTAAGAAGTCCAGTGACCTGATCAAAGCCATAGAGAAAGGAAGTTGCAGAATCAGGATTCAAGCCTAGGTCCTCTGCCTCCATGTCCAGATGCTCTACACTGACTTTCAACATGTTTAAAACATTTGGTACTATACTAACACATATATACATACACACATATATTGTATATGGACATTGAGGAGATTTATTTTGCTTGAAAATGTATATTTGTCATGGGAAATGTATTTGTTTTCCCCTATAGGGTAGGGTATGGAAGCCAGAGAACATAGATTTCTGTTCATTTTGTTTTAAGAAATCTGAGGGGGGGGCCAAGATGGCGGAGTGAAAGCAGTGACTTGCTTGAGCTGTCTGCCAAACCCCAACAAATACTTATAAAAAATGGTTCTAAACAAATTCTGAAGCAGCAGAACCCACAAAAAGACAGAGTGAAACAAATTTCCAGCCCAAAAACAACCTGGATGGTTGATCAGAAAGGTATATCGTGCTGGGCTGGGAGCGCAGTGCAGCGTGGGCGCACAGGCCGCAGTGAACCTGGAGCAGGCCTCAGAGGAGTGAATCACAGGCAGCTGTGGAGGTTTCCAGACTCCTCAATCCACAAATGCTAAAGACAACTTAGAAGGTCAGTGGGAAAAGTCTGTTTCTGTGGTGCTGAGACAGGAAGGTGGGATCTCAGCTCCATTCCCCAAGAGCATGTCCCTGGGTGAGGGCAGCTGCTTTCAGAGCTTCCGGCCCACAGACTGAGGTGGAATCCAGTGGCTGATCAGAGAGGGACTGCCAGTGCTGAGGCAGGAATTTCTTGCTTTGCCCATCTTTGGATCTGGGTCACAGTTCTGGGCTGCAGTGCTGGGGTGAGGAGGAGTGCTGGTGTGCTGTAGCTTGTAGTGGCTATGAAGAGAGGAACCCCTCCTCACAGTTACAGGACAGAAAGGAGTACTTGCAGTCACAGGCCAGGAAAGGAGTAAACACCTCGCCCCTTATCATACCACCTTGGAAGAACTGAAAATTTACAGGTCCCTACAAGTATCTCTGAAAACAGCTATACAAACCCCTGAAGCTTGGGACAGTACATTCTCTACTTTGGAAGCAGACTTTTACCTTAACAAGGAGTTTAAAACTCAAGTAATTGGCTGGGATCATGAGCAAGCAGCACAAAAAGAGTCAGACTATATTATCTGACTCTGGTGAAAAAGAAGATCAAAATATACAACCAGAAGAAGACAACAAAGTCAAAGCTCCTACATCCAAAGCCTCCAAGAAAAATATGAATCAGTCCCAGGCCTTGGAAGAGCTCAAAAGGGATTTTGAGAAGCAAGTAAGGAAAGTAGAGGAAAAACTGGGAAGAGAAATGAGAGTGATGCAAGAAAATCACAAAAAACAAGTCAACAGCTTGCTAAAGGAGACCCAAAAAAATACTGAAGAAAATAACACCTTAAAAAATAGCCTAACCCAAATGGCAAAAGAGGTCCAAAAAGCCAATGAGGAGAAAAATGCCCTAAAAAATAAATTGGCCAAATGGAAAAGGAAGTCCAAAAGATTACTGAAGAAAATACTTCCTTAAAAATTAGAATAGAGCAATTGGAAACTAGTGACTTTATGAGAAATCAAGACACTGTAAAACAAATCCAAAAGAATGAAAAATTAGAAAACAATGTGAAATATCTCATTGGAAAAACAACTGACCTGGAAAATAGATCCAGGAGAGAGAATTTAAAAATTATTGGACTATCTGAAAGCCATGATCAAAAAAAGAGCCTAGACATCATCTTTCAAGAAATTATCAAGGAAAACTGCCCTGATATATTAGAACCAGAGGGCAAAATAGAAATTGAAAGAATCCACAGATCTCCTCCTGAAAGAGATCCCCAAAGGAAAACTCCTAGGAATATAATAGCCAAATTCCAGAGTTCCCAGGTCAAGGAGAAAATCTTACAAGCTGCCAGAAGGAAACAGTTGAAGTACTGTGGAAACACAATCAGGATAACACAAGATTTAGCAGCTTCTACATTAAAGGACCCCAGGGCATGGAATATAATATTCCAGAGGGCAAAGGAGATAGGATTACAACCAAGAATCACCTACCCAGCAAAACTGAGTATAATCCTTCAGGGGAAAAAATGGTCATTCAGTGAAATAGAGGACTTTCAAGCATTCTTGATGAAAAGACCAGAGCTGAATAGGAAATTTGACTTTCAAATACAGGACTCAAGTGGAACATGAAGAGGTAAACAGGAAAGAGAAATCATAAGAGACTTATTAAGATTGAACTGTTTACATTCCTGCATGGAAAGATGATATTTATAACTCATGAGACCTTTGTCAGTATTAGGGTAGTTGAAGGAAAAAAATTATATGTATGTATGTATAGATAGATAGGTAGATAGATAGAGGGCACAGGGTGAGTCGAAGATGAAGGGGTCATATCTGGAGAACAAAATTAAAGGATGAGAGAGGATTATACTCGGAGAAGAAGAAAGGGAGAAGTAGAATGGGGTAAATTATCTCACAAAAAAAAAAACCAGAAAAGTCTCTTATAGTAGAGGGGAAACTGCGGAAGGTGAGAGGGAATGAGTGAATCTTATTCTCATAGAATTTGGCTTAAGGAGGGAATCACATACACATTCAATTGGGTATGGAAATCTGTCTTACCCTACAGGAAAATAGGGGAAAAAGGGGACAAGAGAGTGGGGGATGATAGAGAGGAAGGCAGATTGGTAAAGAGGGTAATCAGAAGTAAATACTTCTGAGGAGGGACAGAGTCAAAAGAAAGAATAGAATAAATGGGAGGGCAGGATAGGATTAAGGGAAATAGAGTTAGTTTTTCACAACACGACTACTATGGAAGTGTTTTACACTACTGGAATATGTACAAACATATATTGAGTTGCTTGCCTTTTCAATGAGGGTGAGTGGGGAGGGAGGAGAGAGAAAATTTGAAACCTAAAATTTTAAAAACATATGTTTAAAAAAAATGTTTTCACATGCTACTGGGAAATAAGAAATACAGGAAATGGGGTACAGAAGTCTGTCTTGCCCTTCAGGAAAATAGAAGGGGAAGGGGATAAGAGAAGAGGGGAGAGATAGAAGAGAGGACAGACTAGGGGAAGGGATATTCAAAATGCGTGCCATCTTGGGGTGGGGGTAGGGGTGAGATGGGATGAAAATTTGGAACTCAAAAACTTGTGGAAATGAATGTTGAAAACTGAAAATAAATAAATTTATATTAAAAAAATGGATGTGAGGTGTGCTACAGATGTGTTTTTATGTGCATTTTCAGGTTATTTCTGTTATTAGTTTTACTTCATTGTTTTAAGTTGTCACAAGAAACCTCTCACAAAGTGAGTTGTAGTTGAGTTGTTTCATTCATGTATGACTCTTCATGATCTCATTTGGGGTTTTCTTGATACTGGAACAGTTTGCTACATCCTTCTACAGATCATTATGCAGATAAGGAAACTGAGACAAACCGAGTTAAGTGACTTGCCCGGGGCCACACAGTTAAAAAGTGTACACTAAATAAGTTTAATAAGAGGCTGAATTTGAACTCACATCTTCCTGACTCCAAGGCTGGTACTCTATCCACTGTGCCATCTGGCTGCCCTAAAGTGCTATAAAGTGAGAGTAATCTGTAAATGTCTGTCA